AAACGTTCTTGATGAACTAAGAAATCTTTTGGAAATATCTGAGAACCTGTCAAACCCAATCTTTCTGGCTGGATATTTAGCTAGGGAAAACCAGAATTCTGGACTTTAAGAACAAATATTTGACACCCAGCAAGTTCATACATTTTGAAACAAATTTGGTAGGAATTATACCGAGATTTATAAAGAAAGAAGTTGTAAAGAAAAGAGAGGCAACTAAGGTTGAGGGCTAGAGGGAAAATGAAATAATAAAATGGCAAAGAAAGAAGAGAAATTTAGGAAGAAGTTTTATAATGTGCTGGCTGGGAGAATACTTTTCTCCTCTTTTATTTAATTCTGAGTGAAGACTTTTGTTCTGTTACTCAAAGATAAAATCTAAAAATAAACCTGGTGTTATTGCTGGCAGTGTTGGAGGACATGTAATTTTTTGTATATACATTACTGTGCAGTGAGCTAAGAAAAACAATATATTGAGTCTTGAAATTGCCATTAGTGAATCGCCTGCTTAGGCAATAATTTTTCTATGATCTCATTTTTTCTTAACTGGTCTCCTTTTTGCTTTAACTGTCTTACCCTATAACAAACATCTTCATGAAACTAATATTTATTTGTTATAAATTATTTTTCCAAAGTCTTAACTTTGCTGTAGCATTTACCAAATTGAGCTAACCTCTTTTTGCTTTGTATACAGCAATAGCTGCCTTTAACATTTATCCATTCTCATGGACTAGGATAAAGACATACATAACCAAATAAGTAATATCCAGATTAAAAAAAAGTATTAAGGAGTCATGAAGACGTAGGACAACAATAGAAAATAAATAACTCATTTTTAAATAATCAATCTTTTCAAAGGAGCTGGCTTGCAAAAACTTTTGAAAAATCACCATCTAAAACTTGGGTCCTTTGAATGTGTTCAGTTTGAATATCCCAAAATGGAAATGTTTGAGGAAATTAAACAGTGCCAGGGGATGTTCTTGGGCATTGGGACTCCACCATTGTTGTTGCTGTTAAATTCCTGGAGCTGTCTCAGGCCCACAGTGATTAGCACTCCCCAAGCAATCCCCGTGCGTGGTTCAGAGGCTACAGGGGGACAGGGATTATTCCCAGTAGGGAGCTTTCATACAGCCACTCTATTTTAGCAGGAAGGTGAGTTTAATACTGTGGCTGCAGGCCAGCTGGCCTCTGAGCTTAGTTTATATCTTAGACTGCTCTCTGGCACTGAGACCAGCGGTATAAAATGGCCTGCTTCTGTACTGCTGAACATCCTGAGCCTACAGAGTGGTTGCATCCACATTGCTTATTAGGATGGGTCCCTGGCTCATGCTACTTCCCATATCATGCCTGAGGATTTTTTATGAAAATGTTAATTGTCCTAGGACAAACAATACCAGGAACTGTTCTAATGATTTAACTCTTCTAGAAGAGTCAATTCCAATGCCCAGGAAAACTCCCTGGTGCTGCTTTCGTTATATTCAGGCAATGTAGCATTAGTTAGAAATAAGCTGAGAGGGTACAAACACACTCACAAAGACCCTGGGTGGGTGAGCAAAGTCAAAGCAGCGTGAGCTTTGTCGAAGCCAAAGCAGGGGTTCAGGTCTGAGCATAATTTGCTTTGAGGAAGGAGTAGAAGGAAACCTGCAGGGATCAGAGAAAATAATTTAATAGAATTTTCAGCTTTAGAGGGAATTAAGATGCTCAATGTGAAATACTCTTTTAAGCTTTGTTTTATGTATCTCTCGGTAATTGGATCCCAGCTGGATTCTTCCAAGTAGAACTGAAATTTCCTTGCATTGTTAATTTTGCAAAGGTAACTGTCATTTACAGACAAACTGGATATTGAGTGGAGGAGAGAAACATATTTACTATTGACTTGACTTTCCCTTGCCTTGTCTGTCCTTCCCTTGCCTCTCCTGGCCTTGCCTTTGGATAATACAACTTATGCTGAGGGTTTTTTCAACTTTCATGTTGGCAATACGAAACCTCTGCTGACTTAGGAGCAGGTTTATGGATGAGTAGCTCTTTTCAATGAGCATGTCACTTTTCATAAGAAGAGTGGAAGGGAATTACTTTTGGGTACGAGGATGTTTGCCAAAGTTATGAGAAAGTTCCCTGTTTAAAATGAGAGCTGGTAAGAGGAAGAGGTTATAGTTTACAGAGCAAGTGCAAAAGCATGCAACTGCTAAAAAGGTATCACTGAAAGTTTATCTGAGAGGATGAGTGTTCAGATCTGTTAGTCATTACTGATTGCCACTCCTCAAAATACCACCCAGCTGGAGTTTTGCTTAGTAAGAGAGTTACATTTTATTTTTCATGGAGCCCATCTCAGCTCAATCAACTTTAATTATTACAAGGTTATTAAAAATTCCCACCAAGTCAGAAGACAAAAATTTTAAATACAGTTTAATTTGTAAATGTTTGGTATTTCTATAGATAGAATTTTGCTAGTGAAAGTAGTTTTGAAATATACTGTATTACATTCAGACTGATAGATTTTTCTTAAGTAATTTAGCACAGTGGGGTGTGTTTCTGGTAGTACTATCCGTGAATGCTGTCCAGGTTTTTTCCCACCAAGATTCATGCCTGACTTCAAAATACATAACTGAGTCTCTTCAGACTGCAATCCAATTCTTTACATTCAAATTAAAAGGATTCAACACCATGGCTCTAGTTTTGACTTAGGGGAAATAAAATAGCAGTCATTTTACCCTTCTCCCTTCTCTGTCCTTCCCCTCATATACACACACATATATTCTTAGGCTTTTTTCAGTAGTTATGTTTCTTTTCCCTTGCTCTGCTCCCACAAATCATATCTTAACGTTATCTTTGTATTACAACTGTGCTGGAATATTTCATGTTATATTAGTAAAAATAATTAATAATTAGATATGCCACTAAGATAATAAGATGGAAAATAGTTAATATGTCAGGATATCTGTATCCCATTAGAACTAGAATTTTGTTTCTGCTCAATTTGGCTTGCATTCAACATCCTCTGATTTTGAAAGAATAAGCAACCCGAGCATATTCCTACGCTTATGAATAAAGCCATACTGTGGACTGCACATGAATAAATCCAGGCAGTCATTTTTATTGTCATCAGAGAGCATTTTTATTCAATGCCCACAAATGTTCTTGGTAATCTGTGAAAGAGGCCTCTGAGATAACAAGTGAAAACAGGCATCTTTCTCACCCCTTGCCTTGGCAGAAGTACATGATTAGCATTCATCAGCAGTCACAAGTGAACTCATGTAAAGGCTTGTGTACAGACAGATGTTTTTCCAATTGAGCCTTTGATTGGCCCACTTGTGCTTGTGCAGTATGACATGACCTTTAATTATACAGCCAAATACTACTTTTCCACTGAGCATTTGCCTCATTCAGTGCACAAGATGGATGAGAGTGCACTGGGAATTGAATTGGGTTGGGCAATAAGAGAGATTACTGATTAGGGGTATCTCAACTTAGTAAAATGAGGACGCCACTGCAGTTTGATGAGCATTCTTGCCATCTTTAATCTTTCAAGCCCGGCAGACAAATGGGCAACTAGCTACCTCACAGGTTTATTCATAGCCGCAGGAATTTAAGAACATGAGCAGACACACTGATTGAAGCCATAGGTATATCTAACCCAGTGTCTGACAGCAGTCAAAAGTGGATGCATATGAAAAAGTTTAAGGACAAGACAATACTACCTGCAGGTATTCCCCCAACTGCCATGCTTTTGTGGCTCAGGGATTTCCTAATCTGGAGAGGTCTTTAATGTAAATATTAAACCTCAGTTGATTTCTCTTCACCAGCATCCCATTAAGCCGTTTAAAGTCCTTTTAATCTTTTGCCGTATGCTGCCTTCTGTGGCAAGGCTTGTGGCTCACCTCCCCCTGCTTGCCTTAAGCCTGCCATGTGCTGGCTTTCTGTCAATGGTCAGTCCCTATCCATTCTCATCATGCAACTTATGCATATGTCTCATATTCTTTCAAAAAAGAAGGATGCTGATCAGAAGCCAGAAGATGGACCCAGGGTCCCAGAAAGCTTGTAGCACGCCCAGAAGGGAGCCAGCCTTCACTTCTGCTGTTATCCATGATAGCTTGGCCTGCCTGCCTGTGCAATTGTGAGATATAGACATACCCTGTGGTATTTCTGCTTCAGTGGCTCTTGGAAAAAAAGACTGCTGATGGCTGAAATAGAAGATTTCAGGAAGTGTGTGAGTGGTCTTTTGGCCAAGTTGAGTGCCACTGTAGACAACAGGATTTTCTCTCTGATGCAACCACAGAATTTCTGCGTGATGCTGAGCTAGTCCAATAGACAAGACTTTTCCCAGATGGCCATTAATTATGCGTTTGCAATCATGGGGTTTGATTTGCAGAAGTGCTGAGCACTCACAGCTGCAGTTGACGTCATTGAGAGCTGCACTTTGTACATGTGAAGTGCTGCTTAATGCCAAGTTCCCTGAAAAATCAGTCCGTTCACATCTCGTATTGGTCACTGCAATTAACAGATGCTTTTGACCTGAATTTCTTTGTGTTCTGTTTGTAATGGAGGACTGATACCACCCTGCCTCATCGGGGTGTTAGATTTCTAAATTCCCAGGCACTACAACAAAAAGCATCACAGTGCAGCTCTCTCAGATAGTAACTATGTAATTCAGAGGGGTTTTGCATCCTGCATGGGGTATGAAGTCAAAATCTCAACAATGACAAAACAGGGTATGGCACAAGTATCTACCCATTCCACTGCCATTAGCCGTTCTGGGCACTGATCTCACAAAAAAAAAAAATGTATATATATACTGATCATGTAACAGGCAGCTTTTGTTATTTACTGGAGGCCAAATTTATATTGCCCAAGTAGCTTTAGTTCTGGCATCTCCTATTTTTCCTGTATTTTCCCAGCACTTGTCAGGGTGTTTGTTTAGACAGCATGTTTGAGACGTTAGGTCAACCTGAACCAATTTGCATTTTGAAATTCTTGTAAAGTATTTTTGTTTGCATTTTACCTTCCAGAAAATACTTGCAACAACAAACGTCTGGACCTTGTCTTCATCATTGACAGCTCTCGCAGCGTACGTCCTTACGACTTTGAAAAAGTGAAGGAGTTCATTTTAACCATCTTGCAGTTTCTGGACATCAGTCCTGATGCCACCCGCGTAGGTCTGATTCAGTACGGCAGCACAGTCAAACATGAGTTTTCACTGAAGACATTCAGGAGGAAGCAGGATATCGAAAGGGCAGTGAAGAGGATGATGCACTTGGCAACTGGCACCATGACTGGACTGGCTATTCAGTATGCAGTGAACATAGCATTTTCGGAGTCAGAAGGAGCTCGGCCTCTGAAGCAGAATGTGCCCCGAATTATCATGATAGTGACGGATGGGAGACCTCAGGATCCAGTGGCAGAGATTGCCACTAAAGCACGTAACTCAGGAATCCTGATTTTTGCCATTGGAGTGGGAAGAGTAGATATGAACACACTGAAGTCCATTGGGAGTGAACCGCATGAAGAGCATGTGTTTCTGGTTGCTAATTTCAGTCAGATTGAAACACTGACCTCTGCCTTTCAGACTAAACTTTGTGGTAAGGAAATCTATAGATTCGAATGCATAGATGAAAGTAAAACACAGAAAAAAATTATGTATTATAATTAAACTTTTTTTTTTACATGAGACCTTATGTGTTAGAATATATATATTGAAAAAAAGGGAGAGTAGCCAGACAACATTCAGAACAGCAGTCATACATATGGGGAAAAACTAATTCTGCTGCTAAGTGCCATAAAATGTGATCTAATTCCTAGTGGTCTTAAGCAGTGAGACAAACACACATATCATGATTTTCCTATTCATTGCATAATAGCAATAAATTTACAACCCTTTGCTATTTAAATATTATTCATCTATTGATTTTAAATCTGATCTCCCTTAGTACTGAAACTTCAAATTGATAAACAGTCTTTTGGTTATTTAAAAAATTCTATGGAGTTTATGGATTCCTCTTCCAAAGCTTACATATTAATTCTGTGCAAACAATTATCTCTGCGCATGCCTTGTGACTGGAAATGAGACACAGAGACATAGTGGTGTTTTTATTCCATCCATTTTAAATACAGGAAGTTAGGAAAAGTCATTACAGTGATATTATTCATTCATACAATAAAGTAAATAATATTTTAATAGGTATTAATTTACAACAGAGAAATCGCTTCCACCTGTAATTCCCTGATAAGAAATTACCTTTTACAAATATCTTGGCATACATAATTCATTTTATTCCAATCTGTATACATAATATAATTTTCTTTTTTAGTTTTTCCTGAGGAAAATATGGAAGATCTTCATACAGATTTGTCATTAAGCTGAGACATTTTCAGCAGAGTCCAGAAAAAGAATGTATGGTGAGATTGAATGCTCACTCATCTCTAGGGATGCTTTTGCCAGAAAAGAACTGAGGCTTATTATCAGGATAGTCTGGAGAATTTTCCTTACTTGGTCGTTTCCAAAATTGTTTCAAAGAGCAACAGGGCTCCAGCTGAAATGCATCAGCACAAAACACCATCACAGACATTCATCAGATAATAGATTTTTTCCCTTCTTCCTTGCTGTATTACTAGCTGGCATAGTAAGACACATTTAAAAACTGAGAAAGAGTAAACTAAACATGGATTGTGAGTTTAAATGGAATGAGCCGCAAATGCTTCAAAACTTCATCTTATTGGATTTTTTTAATTCCATTTTAGAAACAAATCCAGTACAATTACCACTTGTTTTTTTCTGGCTAGCCAGTGTCCAGTAAATGTATTAGAGTTTTATAGCTCACTTTTAATCCAAATACATGTGATCCTCAATAAAACCACCCCGCCTGCAGATGGAGGAGTGTGGAGGTGACAAGGATTGCTGCTGCCTCCTTTTCTCAGGGGATGCCTCCACAACATTTGCTGTGTCAGGAATTGAAGGTGAGATCCAAAAATGCACTTAAAAACCCAGGCCCAGATGCAACAGAGAATTTAAGCTGTTAGATTCTTATGGATTTCAACTTAAGGGACTAAATTGCAGATAGGATCCTTAGTATTTTATTGAGTCTGGGCTGTGAAGCAGCGTTCAGCTTGCTGAATTTCAAGAGAGCGATCTAAGCATCCGTAGCCTCTGCTTCCTAGAGCACCTACATTCCTCCCAGGAAATGTAGTTAGGTTTTTTAAAGTCCTTCCCAGTGTGGACCCAGAGGCAACATCATTATAGCTGAGTTGAACATCTGGACACCTTGTTTCTTTGCTAGAGCAATTGAAGGCACCCCTCTGGTCAAGTCTCCTGGCATGCAGTCTGCTGGGCTTCATGCTGTGGGAAAAGACCTCGGCACCTGAGCTGTCCTTGTGTCTGGATTGCCCTTATGTCTGTGTCTTCGTTGCTCCTGTGAAGATAAGAGAAAAACCTGGCCAAATGATGAAGCTCTGTGGGGAAAATAAAAAGTAAACCAAATTAACCACTGTTTACCCATGGGTGGCAGAGATTACCCAGTGCCTAGCAGCTATATCCTCAGAAGAATCCATATAAACTGGCTGTGCTCCATCCTCTGCTATCAGTTGCTGCCTCTGGCTGCTAAAGATTTGGGGGTGTCAGAAGCAGCAGTTGAAGCCAGGGGATCCCAGGGGCCTCTTTTTATTACCAGTCAGCAAAGTGAAAGAGAAGCAAACAGTATCCTGGGAAATCAGAGGCATGAGGAGTGAGACAAGAGTTAAAAACTCAGAAGAAGAGAAGCAGAAATGGGGACAGAATCCAGGAAAGGAGGTGGAGATTGAATAGAAGAAGAGTGAGAAAGACAGAAGTTGGGATGGAGCAAATAAAGTCTTTATTATTCTCCTGTAAAATAGATAGTGATGTCATCCCCATTTTACATTGGAGGAACGGAGGCACAGAAACAGCGTTAAGTCTGTCAAGATCGCCCACTAACCTTAAATATTTGACTCAGTGCAATTCCTGTTCTGATTTTCTGGGGCATTTAGCATTTTTAGACTAATATAGCATACCAGTACTAATATAACATGCCAGTCACAGCTCTACAGCCTTCACTTGTAGCTGAGAGAGCCCTGCATTCTTGCAAATACAGATTCAGCATACAGCTGAACACATATAGTGTGAAGGTTGATGCTTGCTTGAAGATACTGATATTATTGGCTTGCCCAAAGTCAAATAAGGACCCCATGACATAAACAGAGATAAAATCTAATTCACAAGGCTCACATTCAAATTCCTTAGCTATGAGATCACCATTTCTATTACTTCAGTCCCTGGCTGTGTCCACCAAACACGTCCTGCAACAAATGAGGTTGGAGAAATCATACAGACAGCAGCCGCCTTCACCACAGAAATCTGACTGATGACCAGAGTACCACTGATTCTTTGAAATGGGTGCAATAGAGATACTTTGGAAAAAAATTTATGTGATAGTGTAAGAAAGTGGAAGATTGGTAACAGATGGTAACAATATATTCTCAGAAGGGACTGAGTTATTGGGATGCCTATCATTGAATGCTTCTTTTTTCTTTTTTTTTTTTCCATTTTTTAGTACTCTGTTTTGCGACCTTACGTTCTTTTGATATGGGAGGACTGACTGTTTTTGTAGTAGTGTTCTATAGTTTCACATTCTATAGCATTAGTATATGGTAAGATTTTCTAACACTTAAACTACTGAAATGAGTATATTTTTCATTTGTCATATTTGAAAGTGCTTCTTTGGTCATAACAAGCTATACCTGATGTTGAAAGCTAGTGAAATATAGCCAGGAGGAAACTTCTGTTTAGAAAGTTATCAGAGGTCATAAACTTCATTTTCAGAATGACAGAAAGATGAAAAGACAAGAAGTCCAGGCTGGTCTGTATTCACATAAATAAAAGTACTTGATAAGTTTTATTATGGCAGAAAATTATGAAATCCAAAAAGCTGATTAGGAGTTTTGGGAATTGTGGTGGTTTGTATATTAGTAATAAATGCATAACTCTGGTAACCATTCCAAAGACCAGATACATAGTATGTATCTCAAAACCACATTTTTTTTCCACAAGTACCACACATACCACATGTTAAGTCAGGTTTCTGTTGTGGCTGCTAGAAGATTACTGTTAATATCTATTCCATAAATTTTGAGCTTTGTTGACCTAGCACAATAAGGAGCACATCAATCCCTAAGTGTTGTTGAGCAAAATAGATTATTTTCCACACAATGTTCTCTGAGAAGTAATTCACCTATGTATGATCGAAATTACATACAAGCAATGCTCCAGTGGAAAGAAAACATCAAGGAGATTTCTTAATTCTCAAATACTGATCTGGAGAAAAATAGTTCAGCAATGAATTTGACAGAATGGGCCCCATATTCTTTTTCTTTCTTACTATCTCAGTCTGTTGCATTTTACTACTTGGTATTAGAGACATAAAATAGAAATAGATTAAAAATAGACTCTGAAAGACATACTCTGGAGTGTAGCTCAGCTCAGCTCAGCTCCCACTTACTGAATCTTGGAGGTGCATGACCTCAGTGTCATCATGTATTGCTTATATGTTCCTCAACGTTAATAACTAAGCAAGCAATACTTCATCAAGTTGTTTTCTAGTCATTCTTCTTCAGTGCTGTGTGGTGATTTTCTTCATTCAAGAAATTGAATGTCCTCTAGAACAGTTTGTACTTAAATTCCACTTATTTTCTAAATTTGAATGTGGTAGGTTTGTTTCGTTGTTTTCTTGGGACCACCAAGTAATCAGTGTTCCCAGAAACTCTATTGTATATTTTTATTTTGTTTATATCTCCATTCCACATGTCATTTCACGTCCAAAAACATGCCACCAACGTCAACCAGACAGAAAATACCTAAATTACTACTTTTTTTAAGAATAAATACATAGTTCTGTTTGTTAAGGATTTTTTACAGTCTTAGAGGCTTAAGCTTCCATTTTTGTCTTTACTGTCAACACTTAATTTGAAATTTCTAAATTACTTCACGAAAATTTTCTACACCTTTTTTTTTTTAAGTTGTGACCACAAGTAAGTAAGACCAGCAGTTAATAACGTTTTACTTTTTTCCTTTCAGTGCCCCATATGTGCAGTGTAGTTGAGCATCGCTGTGACCACTTCTGCATAAACACCCCTGGTTCCTACATATGCAGATGTAAACAAGGATACATTCTAAATGCTGATCAGAAGACTTGCAGCAGTATGTTATCTTTCTTAACTTTTCTCTTTCATGCTCCCAAAAAGTGCTTAACATCATGTACCCTTTTTTTGGGCTCATAAAGAAGGACTGAGCTCAGTATATAATTAATGGTAATCATTGGAAAGAGTCTGAAAAGGTGAAGTTGTAATTCTTTTTCTTGTTTTGCGTACATGAAGTTCTTATAAACCTTTCTGAAATACATCAAGCTAATTTTTATACACAGTTCTGCAGAGGTACACTGTAACTACATAAAATTGCATTTGAATTCTATTGGTGTAGTAAGTTCAACAATGAAGCAACAATCAAAGAAAGAACTGTTTTATCATTTCACATGACGTGAATCCAACTACTTTAGTAACTTGTCTAGATAGTAAC